TGAATGGGCCGTCCCAGTTAGCTGCCAATTTTCCTTCGCAGGGGTTGCACCTTGCCGATCCTTGTACACGCCATACTAGGTCAACCTCCTTGAAACATCGCTTCGAAAGGGTGGAGTTGAAGCGCCGGGTCATTCTTTGCTTGCATGCTTCCGCCATTATACGCGCCTTGTCTCGGATCTCGTCTATGACATCAACTTCAACCCGAAGAGATGCGTCGTTGCCTGCTTCGTCAAAATGTAAACGGCGGAAGGAAGGTTCACCTACTTCCACCGGAATCATGGCCTCAGTACCGTATGTCAATCGGAACGGTGTTTCCTTTGTTGTGGATTGAGGCGTACATCTATAAGCCCACAAAACTTCTACTAGTTCTTCGGCCCAGGCGCCCTTAGAATCTCCCAAGCGCTTTTTCAACTCTGTTAAGATGACTTTATTTGCCGCCTCGGCTTGTCCGTTCGATTGAGGATGTTCAACCGATGTGAATCGATGCCGTATGCCTAAGTCTTGGATGAACTTGTTCAACTTTTGATCTGTGAATTGGAGACCATTGTCGGTTACAATGGCATATGGTATACCGAAGCGCGTGACAATGTTCTTCCACAAAAACTTCTGCACCATACCAGCTGTGATCGTTGCTAACCCACTTTGTGAAGTAATCAATTGCGACCAACAAAAATTTGCATTGGCCTTTGGCAAGGGGGAACGGACCGAGGATGTCCATCCCCCATAGTGCAAAGGGCCAAGGAGAGCTAATGCTGTGTAACTCTTCAGCCGAGGCGTGAATAATATTCCCATGGCGTTGGCATTGCATGCATCGCTTAACAAATTTAACACAATCAGTTCTAAGAGTTGGCCAGTAGTATCCAGCTCTTAACACTTTGGCTGCTAGAGTTCTTCCACCCGAGTGAGACCCACAAATGCCTTCATGGATCTCTCTCAGCACGTAATTTGCTTGTGTTGAATCAATGCATTTCAACAATGGGGTGGAGAAGCCTCTTCGGTACAATTCACCGTTTATTACTGAGTATCGGGCTGCCTGTGCACGAAGCTTTTTGGCGGCGGAAGGTTCGGTTGGTTGTTTTCCCGACTTGATGTAATTCATTATGTCAGCGATCCAAGTCTGTTGAGGTTCATCGACCGTTAAACACTCATTCGGTTTCACACTAGGAGTTGCGAGGTCGAGATGAAGAGTAGTTCGAAGCTGCCCGGGTTTTCGGCCACTGCTAGCCAGCCGAGCCAGTTGATCGGCGCGTTCATTACGTTCCCTTGGGGTATGCTTAACCTGGACCTCGTCAAAGGTGTTACGTGCATTCTGAAACAAGTGGTAATATTTCAACAAGTTGGGGTCTTTCACCTGAAAGTGATCATTAACCTGTTCCGAGACGATTTTTGAATCTGTCCAACACACTATTCGCCGAGCACCAACTTCTTGGGCGAGCCTTAACCCTGCCAATAATGCCTCGTATTCGGCCTGATTATTGGAGGTCTTGAATGCAAATCGTAGGGACTGTTCGAGTATCAATCCGGATGGTCCTTCAAGGATTACTCCTGCTCCACAACCTTGGTTATTTGAAGACCCATCTACATGCATTGTCCACAGGTCACTTACAAAATGGCCTTTCGGCTGCAACTCGTTCATAAAATCAGCCAAGCATTGGGATTTAATAGGGCCTCGTGCTTCAAAGGTGATGTCAAACTCCGAGAGCTCAATTGACCAAGCCATTATTCGGCCGGCCAACTCGGGCTTGCGCAGTACCTTGGCTATCGGGCAGTCAGTCCGAACCACCACATGATGACTCTGAAAATATTGGCGAAGGCGTCGAGCCGCGTGCACCAACCCTAGCACCACCTTCTCCAAAAGCTGGTATCTTGTTTCGGCTTCTT